GCACTGCAGCATGGGGCCTCCAATGATATATTTATAGAACATGGATACCTCCTTGCCCTCAACCTGCATCCTGGCATGAAGGTGCCAGTCTGGTGACTGTTACCTGACCATCATTCCCTCCCGAAGGCTGAGATTTAGATTCCTGTTTTCTATCAGGGCTCCCTAAGCAGTGTAAGAGCTCACCCCTGCTCTCAGATACTCCCTGAATGAAGGAGGAAATGAACAACGTAAATTGTGCCAACAGAGGCCAAGATGTGCCCACAAGGCGGCTGCCTCAGAGCCTCCTCTTGGATGACGGGATCCGTAGGTGCTCCCCTTGGATGATGGGATCTGTAGGGTGCTCCTCCTGCAGAGGCATTTCTTGAAGAGAAAGGAAAACATGGTGGGAAGCCACACTCAGGGGGCTGTGGACCTGGGTGCCTCCAGATTTGAGAGATCAGTCAGAGTCTCCCAGACTTGTGTCCTGCTCTGTGGATCTGTCCTAGGAAGAGTAAATGCCTGTGACCCTGGAGCTGGTTCTCAAAGGGGTCCACAGGCCCAGAGACCAGAAACTCTTGTACACACACACACACACACACACACACACACACACACACACACAACTATATAAAAGTAGGCTATGGAAAAAGTATTTTTTTTAAAGCCCCCACCACAGCCTTTCGTTCTGAATCTGTCCTAACAGATTCACCCAAGCTGGTTAACGGTATTTGCGGTTTGCAAGATACTACATGTCCCGGGAAAATGACAGACAAGTTATTATCACCTTCCCACTGTCCTCCTGCCCAAACCTGCCTGTGCCGGGCACCCAGCTGCCGGGAGCGGGTGCAAGGAAATTAACAGCCCTGTACCGCGCCCGCCCCCGCCCGCCCTCTCACCCACCACCCTGCACCCGTCCTGCCAGGCTAGGGGCTTCCAGCCATGCCCGGCCCATCTTGGACTGCGGCGGGAGGGAGGAGGAGGGAGGGGAGGAAGGAGGAGGAGAGAGAGGGAAGGAGGAGGGGTCAGGAGAGCAGCCATGTCAGGAGGGATGTCTGCTCCGCTTCGATGTTGGGCAAAGTATTTCCTGAAAGCCCCGCGGAACACACGCATCCGCGCAGGCAAGTCTGGACGGCGCTGTGTCAACAGCCGAAGATAAATAAGATTTTATCAGCTCGGAATCTGTTGAAACACATCCATCTAGCGGTTCTAGGGAAGGAAAGGCAGGAGGAGGGCAGCAGGGAGGAAGCATCCTCACATGACATTCTGGAAACCGAGTCTGACCCTGAGGACTGACCCTGTAAGCTCTGCGGAGAAAGGGGAGCGCTGGCAACTTCCTAGTCTCCCAGAGACTTGATGTCCTGGAGTCTTCCAGCACGCCCCCCACCCCCCGCCCACGCGTGGCTGCTGGTTTTACCACCTGATCTTCCGAGGTGTGGGGAAGCTTTGGCATCTCTCGCTGAAACTCCCCACATCTGGCTAAAATGGACTACCACAAATTTACCCTGTGGCCGGAGTAGGGGCTGGCAAGTGTGTGCGCCCCAAAGCCCCATGATCACTGTATTAGAGACGCCATTCAAGGGTGCAGAAGTGAAGGAGTCATGTATCTTATGGGCTTGGGTTTTCCTTCCAGACTTGTCCCACCAGAGATGACTCTCCCAGCTCTGATTCTTCTTCTGAGAGGAGACTGCCTTGCTGTAGCTGCCGCGTTGGTACCAGGGACAGCTCCAGGCGCTTTAAGCTCCTCCCTAGGGTGGGGCATTCAATGGTTCATCCTTACCAGCCCAGCTACTCTGTAACTATCCTTAGCTTTCTCTAGACCTCCTAGGGTCCCACTCCAGGCCATAGAGAGCAGTACTACCTCATGGCTATCCTAGGACATCCGGAAGCACAGAAGCCACCTTCTGAGGAGGAGGTCAGGCCTCAGCTACCTCTGGCCACACCTTGGCAGTGGCAGTGTGTGGCTCGGGAGTGTACCCAATTATCCTAGGTCCTCAGAGGGGAGTGATGGGGAGGACAATAGCCTGGAGGGCTGCAACAACGGGGCTCCAGGGATGGGCACTGTGGCCAGGCAGTATTTGAAACCTCATTGCTCAGGAGTGGGTGGGTGAGGGGAGCTCTGATGCCCCTCCCTGCAGCTGGGCTGTGCCCAGAGCCTGCCTCCATCCCGATACAAACACAGAGAGGTGAATTGGATGCACCCTTCTCCCTCCATGCGTGTTTGGGCTTCCCAGGAATGTGGCCTCGGGCACCATCACACCTGACCTGCCCCCAGCCCGTCTCGACTCCTGCCCTGGTGAGTCTATGACCCCTTCTTACGTCATGAGCTAGAGCACTGGAAACTCTAAAAAGGCTACTGTAGGAGACTCCAGGTCTGTGGGCCCCTCAGCTGTGCCAACCCACAAATTACCTTACCTGTTAATGAGCAACCGTGTTAGATAGAATAAGAGGCCTCTGACCTTGCTGGTGCTCTACCACAGAGCTGGCATCTGAGAGTCTGGTGGTAAGTCAGTGGTAGACGAACCTGACAGGTGGTCCAGTTTAGAGCAATCCACCCTACATTCCTGAGCCAGAACAGGGAGCCAAGCGCCAGACTTCAAAGGCTAATCTCCTTTTGTTGTCCCTGGTGACTTTGACCTCAGTGTCACCCCACCCCCTGCAGGCAAGGCCTGTTTCATGGGGTGTCCGCCACCCCCACCCCTGGGTCTATTTTCTTCAAGTAGCTAGGCCTCATAAACAATGGGCACTCAGGAGATGCTTGGTAATGCTCGGGTCTGTCACTCTCGACAGACAGGAAGGTGTCTTGATTGGCCTTAGGTTGAGTCTCTCTGAGCTCAGGACTAGCTAGGTTCCCTTGGTAATTGTCTGAGCCTGGAGCTTACTGGGAAACCTTCATCTATGAATAAACAAGAGACCTGGGCATGTCACTGTCACTGTGTATGAATTAATTTAATGCCTGGGGATCCTCACACTGTGAACTTCATGTCACCCCAAGTGTCCTTCCTAGGGAGGCCACAGTAAGTACAGAGTTAGCATGCTTTTTTATCAAGTACGGCTGTAGACCCCCGGCAGGTATATGTTGCTGATGAAGGGCAGGGGTGGAGGGGGTTATGTATAGTTGTTTACTGGCCTTTCCTCGGATGCTTGCATTCTGAGGTCTGTACTGCACACCCAAGGCACTACATAAGTGCTCAGGGCATCACACTCTGCAAACTTCCCTAGGCCACAGAGGAACTCAGTAACCTGTCAGGCCTGTGTCCTTTATCTGCCCAGGGTTCTAGCAGGCTTCTGCTACTCTGGGCCTATATCTACTCCGTCCCTAGCCTGCACGGATGGAGAGTAATCTGCAGTGTACTAACTTGAGGAGAGGCCTTTTGCAGGACACCAAAGCCCAGATATGGATCTGCAGCAGTCAGGTGTACCCCGTCCAAGTCTCAGAGTCCCCCATGTATCCTGGGGATGAGGCTGTGGCTCTTCCTCCATGATGTTTGGATGGGGATCCCAGACATCGGCGACAGTGATCATTTCCCAGAAAGTCAAACCGACCTGCCTAGGCCAGCTCCTTCAGCTGCTCACTCTGTTAGGGCTCTCTCTGCTTTTCAAAACAGTCCCTCAAGCCTGCTGTGGGGTCCCTGTAGTGAGTGACTCTTGCTCTTTAAACAGGAGGGAAGGGACTATGTCATGGTGCCTCTCCCTGCCTTCCTTTCATTGCATTTGCCTATGGTATATGCTATTGGTATATGCCTCTGTGGAGAACCTTAAGCCTATAGGGTTGGAGTGGTCAGGATCCCCCACTGTCCCTTGCAAAGGAGAGACTTGATATGTGAGCACCATCTGCTCTTTCGAGTTTTAACAGCTGGCCATTTCTGGCGGGTTTCCTCAATTGTCACAGTGGACTCATGACTTTGAGTGGCAGAGACTTTAGAGGGAAGTGGAACTCCATAAAAATCCCACAGGAAGGGCTGGAGAGATGGCTCAGAGGTTAAGAGGACCCGAGTTCAAATTCCGGCAACCACATGATGGCTCATAACCATCTATAATAAGGTCTGGTGCCCTCTTCTGGCCTGCATGTGTACATACAGACAGAGCACTGTATACATAATAAGTAAATAAATCCATCCCTTGGGAAGGAAGACATGAGGAGTCACCAGGGGTTTTCGGAGCCCTAGTGAAGGGTCAGCTAGCAGGTAAATAAATGAACATCTTGGTTTCCAGCCTGGATCAGGCTGCTGACTGCAGAGGTGAGATTTATAGCACTGAGCTGGTTTGACAAGCTCAGATTTGCATCTTTCTGCCTTGCATAGAAGAATTGCTCTGATTCTGAGACTGAGTCAGTCTCAGCAGTGTCAATTCAATCCTTAGAAGAGTGACCTGGGACACAGCGGGGGGTGGGGGGGAATGGTAACATCCCATTGTCCCTGAGAGATGCCCTGCCATGACCTCAGACCCAGTTGGTTTCCAGGATGAGAAAACAGGGTCTTGCCTCACACAATGGAAGAGCTAGGCTGCCTGGATTTGGTGGTTTTACTTGGTGGCCCAGTGCTGGTGACTGGCCAACACCTCATAAGGTCTTGCTGGTCCAGAGAGTTCTCTGTTAGAGGATAAAGGAAGAAGGGGTGAGCCATCCACCTATAGAGCGATTCTTCTATGCAAGGCAGAAGGATGCACTTCTGAGCTTGTCAAACCAGCTCAGTGCTGCAAATTCTACCTCTGCAGCCAGTGGCCTGATCCAGGCTGGGACAGCAAGGCTGGGACTGATTCCCACTGACCTCTGACCACCCCCCCAACACTGTCTTACCCTTTGTCATCCTTATGCAACGGTCCCCCCCTCGCAGCCTTTGAGATACAGGTGAGCTATATAGCCAGGCAGGGGCTGAGTGGGCATCAGGCATGCCCATCTCTACATTCCGAAGCAGTGCCTGAAGCATCGGGGAGCAGACCTCACCAGAGTGCTTGGGAAAGTGGTCGTGTGGAAGCAACCGGAACTGAGCTGCCATCTCAACTCGACCCCTTCTCTCCTCCAGTACTCCCCACTTTTGAAGAAATTGTACTGTCAGATTGCCAAGACATGCCCCATCCAGATAAAAGTGTCCACACCACCACCCCCGGGCACAGCCATCCGGGCCATGCCTGTCTACAAGAAGGCAGAGCACGTGACCGACATTGTTAAGCGCTGTCCCAATCACGAGCTTGGAAGGGACTTCAATGAAGGTGAGCACCCCTCCCCCCTCCCCACTGTGGGACCCTGACCTCTGCAGCACCATGGGCAGTGGGTGCAACTGAGAGACACAGGCCAGTGAGCATGAGCTGCTTTCAGCTCTTCCCTCACCTGAACCCACACCCCATCCTTCCCTCCATTTCTCCATCCCAAAAGGACGATGGTCCAGCAAGAGTGTAGTGTAGCTTGAGAGACATCTGGGGAACCAGCTGATGCTGGGGAGCCTTGTGAAGCATTCCTGTTGTGTTCCTGGTGAACCCTGTGACACCCCCAGGGTCAGAAGATCTAGGGACAGCTTCTGTCAGGGTCAAGGCCGTCTGAATGAGGGCTGCAGAGCTCTGAGCCTTGCCTAGGACTCTCACGGGACAAGCCCTATGGTCTCAGTTCTGCCACACGCCTGGTACAGGAGTATGGGACGGAGGATGGGCCCCTCTCTAAAGCTGTGTCCCCTCCTGGCAGGACAGTCTGCCCCGGCTAGCCACCTCATCCGTGTAGAAGGCAACAACCTTTCCCAGTATGTGGATGACCCCGTCACCGGCAGACAAAGTGTGGTTGTGCCATACGAACCCCCACAGGTAGGCTGGGGACCAAACTGGGGTACAAAGCCAACCTTACAGGGTGGGGGTTCCCTGGGCCTGTGCTCTGACCTCAGTCTGCCTCTCAGGCCTTTTCCTGGCAGTTCATTTCACTGTGAGCAGTGAGCTCAGGCCTGAGTTCCAGTCAACTTCAGTTCTCTCTGTTTCTCTGTCTGTTTCTGTCTCTGCCTCTCTGCCTCTCTGCCTCTCTGCCTCTCTGTCTCTGCCTCTCTGTCTCTCTGTCTCTCTGTCTCTCTGTCTCTCTGTCTCTCTGCCTCTCTCTCTCTCTCTCCCTCCCTCTCTCTCTCTCTCTCTCTCTCTCTGTGTGTGTGTGTGTGTGTCTGTGTGTATGTGTGTCTGTCTGTCTGTCTCTGCCTCTCTGTCTGCCTCTATCTCTATCTCTATCTCTATCTCTATCTCTATCTCTCTCTCTCCTAAGCTATATAACCAGGTATGGTCATATGATCTCTAACCTTTTAACCCTGCCCTCCCCACGGAGGGTCCAATCTTCAATCTTCTTGCTTGTTTCTCCCAAGTATAGCCTCCTAGACATAGGAGTGAGAGAGGGTCCCTGGACATCTCAGGCTCCTTTTTCAGGAACAAAACCAAGCAGGCAAGCATGGGGTGGTGGGGAGAGGGTGGACAGTTCCATTCTGGGGGCTAGGGATCATGAAAGCCCTCCTAGACAAGGCTGGGGCATCACAGAAGATGCCTACAGGGGACTGGAGTTGTGGAACAGAGGCTCAGGAAAGTAGAGAAGACAGAGGTGATAGGTCAGCCTTAAGAAGGCCTGTGTGTGTGCAGAGCCTCGGAAGTATAGTTCCAGCTGGAGAAAAGGGGCTCAGACCACAGGTGAGGGCACTAAGGGAGGGAACCAGGCTGGAGGTGGTGGTTGCCAAAAGTAGTCAAGTGAAGGAAGACTGGAGGAACTTTTGACATCAGAGGGTGTGTGGTCACCATTATAGATCTGATATGAGGCCCAGCTGGGGCCAAGGGCAAGGTGGAGGGACTTCAGGACTGAAGTGGGTAGTATCAGGACAGAGACTCAGGAGGACTGCAGTTAGATCTCATCCCTGATCCATCCTCTACCAACCCCTGTGGTCCTGTGAGGCAGCTCTTTATGTCAGTAGGACAGGGTTGGGTGATGCACATATAGACACAAACACACACACACACACACACACACACAGACAGACAGACACACAGTCAGACACACACACACACACAGACAGACACACTCACATAAACACACACACAGACAGACAGACACACATACAGACACACAGACACACACAGAGAGACACACACAGACACATAAACACACACACACACAGACACACACACATACAGACACATACACAGAGACACACACACATACAGACATACACAGACACACACACATATAAACACACACAGAGACAGACACACACACACATACAGACACACACACACACAGACACACACAGAGAGACACACAAAGACACAAACACACACAGACACACACACATAAACACACGCACAGACACACACACATAGACACACACAGACACACACACATAGACACACACACACATACAGACACACACACATACAGACACACACACATAGACACACA